AAAACAGACATAGACATAAAGAGACATACTATTTTTCCGTAAAAGGATAAGCTGTGTTTCCTAGACGTTAGTCTACACGATTCCTGCCAGCCAGAGTCAATTTATTCCTAAAGGTCTTACTTTTAAACTTCTTCAAATTGCTTCATGCTAAATATCTAAGCGCTATAGTTTCACATAATTATATTAAATATGTTGGCCTTAAATCACGTTACTCTCAGACATGCCAGTTTTGACCCCAGGAGCATGGTTATTATCGACATTAACAAGGTAATGCTTCTTGCTTAACATGGTAGCATTTAGCTACACAATAAGACTGATATTTATCCACCCACTCATACTAGACTATATTAAATAAGTGACTCCTGGAGCAGGGCCAATTATGAACAAAGGGGCATGACTCATACAAGTTGTGTAAAGGTCATTAAAGCAATGCTGCCTTCTAAATTTCTAAACTCTTGACACTGTAGTTTCCCATAATATGACTTATATTATTGTATAAGTCTATATAAATTAAGATACTCGAGGTGAGGACAATTGTGATCTCCGGAAGCCTGAACGTGTGTTCTACACACTGCCTCCTTTTAAGTAATATTTCTGCCAAAACGTTTTAATTTCTTTCTGTCGGTTCAGCAAGTACAGAGCGAACAATTTTTAAGTTAAAAAAGGAGTATTTAGTAAGGTTGGCTTTGACCTGAGAAAGTTCAATCCTACGATAAGCATATCGATTAAGAAATTTCAATTTCTTTCAGTCTGTTCTAAGGTACACGACAACTGGTTACATAATGACAGATGAACGTTCTCTGTGAATTAACGTTCTTGGTTTTTTTCTCTTAGATCATCTATGGTCTCAAAACCCCCATAAGTAAGCTATTTTCTACCCAAAAGTGTGTACGGAATGAACAGGGATATTCCTCTTATATAGTTATCTTAGGCCGTACGGACGACATTTATTTGAACAGAAAATTAAAACGTGCTGGAGGCTCCGTTGCATATTTTCAGTGTTCTCGTAAGAACAAAAGTATGTTCATACATATTCTATTTAATACATTTATTATAAACTCTGTTGCATATAGATTTTAAATCAATGATTTGAAGAAATTGCCTTGTATATATTGAAGTCAGCAGTAGATATGCAATAAACAATACAAATTCATATTTGCTTTTAAACTTACTTTTTCTTCTGAGATACAATTTTATCTTTAGAAAACCATTTTATGTAAGGTGCCGGTCTGCCTCTAACTATGCACCGAAATTGATGTGTCCCGCCAACTACTGCAACAGCATCATGTGTCGGTTTAACCCTAAATTTAGGTGATAGGCAGCCTCCATCTGAAATTTTTACAAAACACTATATAACACATATATACTACTGCATAAGTATCATGCATAAAAAATGCACAAGCAAAATATGTTTAAAAAATCATATGCCATTAAACACCAAAAAGGAATGAAATTGAATGTTCTTTAAAAATGTTTTACAACTCTCATTTTAGCATCAGACCCAATGACTGAAATGTTTGCCACTAAATGTACCCACGGATCTGTATGTTTAAATCATCAAACAGGTATATCATAGTTTTAATTCAGTCGGATAAGAGATTATGTTAAGGCTGCAACAGAAAAAAAAAACAAATTAATACAGCATTTAAAACAAAGTATATTTAATTTATTAAAACGGCTACGATTTATACATATAATCGGCTGAAGCATTTCTGGAAAAAGTATAGAAATCAAAGTTTTTATGTACATTTCATATGTCAAATATTTTAAAGTTTTATTAATTTTTCACTGGAGTGTTATAATTATGGCCAAACATTGTTTACTTCGAAAAGTTTAGCTAACAGCCTAAGATAATTCATATGCTATTATAGTATATATTATATATGAGGGATGCTTAACAATATGTTAAACATACAGGTTTGAAGATGGTTTCAACATTTAGTTTTCAATATAACCCCGTCTTTCTTTTATGCATTTGACTTACTTTCCTATTAAGTCGTTAATGAAAGTTGTCTATCTGTTTCATATCATTTACTTATTTCCAATATTGTTTTCAGTTGATCTTGCATTATTAACGGTTACTATGCACAAACAAAAGATTGACAGATGCATAATATCAATCAGATATAAAACCGGCATGTAGCATATTGGGTCAGCACTTGAGTCCGCTTGGAGGACTAAGTACCAGTGTCGTTTGAAGACATATGGTCGGTATGACTTGAGTGCAGGATTCTGATCTTTTCTCAATTGATTATGTGTTATTACTTTATATATTTTCTGCGAAAACATGGTTGCTGCCCCGGTATGACTAGGACAAATTAAAGTCAAATCATGCAGAATAGTCTAGACCATAGTATTCTTCTGATTCAATCAAGACAATGGAAAGATCACTCTGCGTAAAATGGGGAAGTGTAAGCACATTTCCAAAATTGCAAACTAAAGTAACTGAACAACTCACCTAAAGCATCAGTAATGGTAACCATCACAACTAAAATGAGAACGTGTGCTAAACACATAGTCCTTTTATTCCGTGACAAATGTGAATCAAAAAGTATGATACAATTTCCCTTTTTCCCTTTCTGAAACAAAAAATTGAATTTATTTAGATGATCACTAATTATATTTGTATAATTATTACATGTTTTAATAGCATAACGTTATGTCTTAATGACAGCAATGGAGACAAAGTGTTTTGTTTTATCCTTGTTATATAATGTGGCTTGACATTACTTGTCTTTTTAACATTTAGACATAGTTTTACTATTTTGTGTATTTTATAATGTGCCTAACTACTCCATTGTAAATTGAAATAAATGTATCTTATATCTTATCTTTCACTAGCATTTATAAAAACAATATAAATAAAAGCACAAATGCATCAAAAAGGATTCATCCGTGACTGAGATTCGAAGTTCCAGCCTTCCACTTCTGAGCAGCAGTAACAAAGCTCTTGGGATAGAGAATTCATAATAAGTTGTCAAAGGGTAAGGCTGTTAGTTATGAACGTTGGTTTACACAAAACCGTAACACACATCACATCATATAGTAGTTAATGCACAATTGTTATACATCCCCTCTACAGAAAGCCCTATATGGCAATTTTTGTAAAAAAACAAAAAACAACAGAATGCATTTGAGACTTCTTTTTTCAGAACCATTTCGGTTTTCAAACTTAGCAAGGTATCAAGGACAATTCAATTTCTTTTCATTATGAATTGTAGCACATTGTTAAGTTCAATAATTAGCAATGCTCCAAGAAATAGTTTTTCATGCATTAACTTTTCCATTGCTTCCAAATGCAAGAAAGGAAAAAACTATTAAGTTTTCATAAAAAGAACCTTAAACTGGGAAATACACAATACTACGGATTTAACGGAAACTGTGAAATAATTAAAGAAACAAAACCCGAAAGAAACGAGGAAACGATAAGTCTGAATGACAAAATAAAATTCCCCTTGTGGCTTAGGGGTTGCCTATAATGGTGAGACATCCGAATTGCTGCAAATGGCCGAATAATGTGTTTTGAATTGCTGGAGTCTATGTCTCACATATCTCAATCAGGTTAGGGTGGTTTGACCCTTGGCGTTGTTGTAAGATGGAAAACCCCTATTTCTTTGTTTCGGCATCAAATCACATAGATTGTGTTGATAAAACAATACTGACAATCAAAATTAAAAGATTAAATCAAGGCCGGTATTTATGATATTTTGGACCCTATAAAGTATTGATAAGGCCAAATGAGACCATCACCATTGATGTTTATACTGATAAAGAGATAGATCATCCCGTGACAAATGCCATTTTTCAGGAAACTGAGGATGCTTCTATACCAGAATTCATAGATGTCACACCAGCATTAGTCAAGTATGAATATGGGAATAACCATTGTATGAAGATTACCTTATCGAATCTAACAACCAACACGGCTACAATTTCACCTAAAGAGATGATTTGCGAATTACAACCAGTTAACATCACAGATGAAGCATTACACAAATTGGAAGGTGAAGAGTTAGACAGAGCAAGAGCCAGAATAGTATTAGAATTGAATCTGGACAATAACAACTCGTTGACGGAGGAACAAAGAACAAGACTACGACAACTTTTAATGAAACATAGGGATATATTTTCAACTTCCGACATAGACATAGGACAGTGTAACAGAGTGAAACATAGAATTGATCTATTAGACTCTACACCATTCAAGCAACGACATAGAAGAATTCCACCATCAATGATAAATGAAGTAAGGCAACATCTAGAACAACTATTGGCATGTGGTATTATAAGACCTTCAAAATCACCCTTTGCTTCAAATATTGTGCTAGTTAGGAAGAAATCTGGAAAGTTAAGGCTATGTGTTGACTACAGGATGCTCAATGAAAGAACCATTAAAGACTCCTATGCATTGCCCAGAATAGAAGAGATCTTTGATTGTCTACATGGAGCCAAATATTTTTCAACCATCGACATGAAATCAGGATATCATCAGATAGAAGTGGAAGAAGAACATAAAGAAAGAACATGCTTTACAGTAGGACCGTTAGGATTGTGGGAATTCAACAAAATGCCGTTCGGATTAACTAACTCACCAGCAACTTATCAACGCTTAATGGAGGAATGTCTTGGAGATCTCAACCTGAAAATCTGTGTCATCTATTTAGACGATTTAATCATCTTCAGCGACTCTTATGAACAACATCTTGAAAGATTGGATATTATACTCACCCGCCTGAAGTCATGTAACCTGAAACTAGCTTCCGAAAAATGTGAATTCTTCAAACAACGAGTCAAATTTCTAGGTCATGTCGTGAGCAGTGAAGGCATAGAAACAGATCCAGACAAAATCCAGAAAGTACGTGATTGGCCAACACCAAACAATTCAGATGAGCTACATTCTTTCCTTTCATTTGCCAGCTATTACAGAAGATTCATTGAAGGATTCAGCAAAATCACCAGACCACTAGCAGAACTTATACCCCCAACACTTCAAAGAGAGGATGCAAGAAAAAGGCAACTAAACCATGGAATTGGACAAATAGTGAGCAAGACATATTTGAAGAGCTCAAGATAACATTATCATCCCCACCTATATTGGCATATCCGGATTTCTCAAAACCCTTTGAGCTACACACGGATGCCTCGACAATAGGACTTGGTGCGATACTATACCAACAACAAGGAGAACATAAAAGAGTTATTTCATATGCTTCAAGATCACTTTCGAAATCGGAAAAGAATTACTCAGCTTATAAACTAGAATTTTTGGCATTAAAATGGGCAGTAACTGAAAAATTTAAAGATTATTTGACTGGAAATCATTTCACCATATATACAGACAACAATCCTTTGACTTATGTGCTGACTTCAGCTAAATTGGATGCAACCGGTCAAAGATGGGCAGCAGCGCTTGGAGAATTTGACTTCGAGATACACTATCGACCTGGAATGAAGAATACAGATGCTGACGCCATGAGCAGATATCCTATAGATACAACCATTCAAGATCAGGAAGAAAGAACAACCATAGATAACAGCATGGTGAGAGCAATATGTGGTGTAATAAGTATTCCATATGCAGAGACTCAAACAATGAATGTCAACATCATAGATGCAACAGAAGACCCCAGTCAACCAATGGCCCAGATTGAGATGAGAGAAATAAGGAAGAAGCAAAGAGAAGACCCTTTACTAGACAGATGGAGAATAGCAGTGATAGATAAGACCATTCCAGATAAATGTTTTGATAAGAAAGACCAGATTATGAAGAAGAATTTCAACCATTTAAAGATCAAAAGAGGAATCCTATTTAGAGAAACAACTGAAGATGACAACAAGAAAGAGCAACTATGCATTCCAGATGTTTATAAAGAAGAAATTTTACATGGATTACATACAGATGTAGGACATCCAGGAAAAGAAAGAACCAGAAGATTGGTCCAAGAAAGATTTTACTGGCCTGGAATGACAACAGATATTGATAATTTTGTTTCAAAATGTGACAGATGCCTGAGAAGAAAGAGTCAAACCAACACAAGAGCTCCACTTGTTAATGTTCATACAACCTATCCACTGGAATTAGTTTGCTTTGACTATCTGACACTGGAATCATCAAAAGGAGGATATGGAAACATACTTGTCATAACGGATCATTTTACTAAATTCGCATTAGCTATTCCAACTAAGAATCAGACTGCCAAAACTACTGCGGAAACTTTCTACAATCACTTCATCATTCATTACGGAATTCCAACAAGACTACATTCAGATCAAGGAGCTAACTTCGAATCTCAACTTATCAAAGAACTTTGTGAAATCACCAACATTAAGAAATCTCATACTTCAATTTACCACCCGCAAGGTAATTCCGGACCAGAGCGGTTCAATAGAACGCTTTTGGATATGCTAGGGACTCTCGAAAACTCACAGAAAAGCGATTGGAAGAAGTACATCAACTCACTAGTATTCGCATACAACTGTACTCCACATGAGACAACCAAAGTATCACCATATGAGCTTATGTTCGGCAGGAAACCAAAACTTCCCATTGATATAACTTTTGAACAAGCTAAAGAAGATACAACTATCAAGAAAACCACTCAGGAATATATAGAAGATTTAAAAGAAAGAATGAATAGAAGTAAGGAGATTGTACAGAAACACATGGATTTGGCAAAAGCGAAACAGAAGAAATACTATGATAGGAAAGTTAGAGGTGCAAAGATTGAGATAGGAGATTTTGTTTTAGTGAAGATTTTGGCTCATAAAGAAGGAAAACACAAGTTAGCTGACAAGTTCGAAGAAGACATTTATAAAGTCATTGATCAACCAAGAAAAGACATTCCAGTGTATTTAGTCAAATCAAACCAAGGCAAAGAACGCACACTACACAGAAATCATCTATTCCTAGTTGAATATCAAGAAGCAAATGAGAACATAGAAGAGGTGAATGAGACAGAAAACAGAGAATCTGCAGAGGAGAAAGATAGAGATAAAGGGGATGCATCCGGAAAGAAAACATGTGACGTCACAGACTCAGAAGATTCAGATGATGAAATTGATGATATATTTGTTTCACAAACAAAAATAGATGGGGACGCCTATCAGTCAAGATGTAATCATTCTGAAAGTGAGAATGAACTTGAAGTAGAAACAGAAGTACCTGCAAATGTTGAAGAAGCAGATGTAATCAAAGACAGCGTACAAGTAATAGAAGAACCTGCAGTAGTTACCAAACAAAACGATTCTAAAGCAGCAGAATCACTGGTTGAAGAAGAGAAAATAGAGGAGGAGACAGATGTTCAAACTGACCATCTAGAACAAATTCACCTAATAGAAGAAGATTCAGATATAACCTGTAGTGTAGAGACAGAAGATGAAACCAACATTCAAGAACGTTTAACTGAAAGTAGGACAGATGAAACTATGACAGAAGAAGATACAAGTAGAGAAGATAGAACCTTACAAGACATAGACGGAGAGACAGTAAAGAAACAGGAGACAGAAGATATTGCAGTGAAGAAACGAAAGCGACAGTTACCACCACAACCAACTAGAAAATCAGAAAGAACGAAGAAAG